AACGGGGTGGCGGTGATGGGCACCCCGGGGCGGGCGCTGGGTCGCCCCGGGACCCTCCCGGCCGCACCGCCCTCCGCCTTCTACCGCGACGGGCTGCCCCCCCACGACCTGCGGGGTCCCCAGCCCCGGCCGCCCCCCCCGTCCCGTGACTCCCGCGGGCCCCCAGAGGACGCCAGCTGCCCCCACGACCCCTGTGCCCCCATGGCCGCCGCCGCGCCCCACCGGCCCCCCGTCCTCCTGCCCCTGCTGGCTCTGATCCTGCCCCGACTCTGAGCCCCCCTCGGCGCCCCAGGGAGGTCCCGGCTCCTCGGGGTGCCCGTGCCCCCCTTTTCCCCGGGGGAGGCCTCAAGAACTGTGGGGAACAGCCGGTGGGTGGGGGCTGCAGGATGCAGAAGGGGTTCCCCTCCCATCCTGAGCGGGAAAAACCCCCAACAGGAACCAAAAGGTGGGAAATTATTTATTAAAAATGGTCTTATTTTGGGAGAGCGGGGCCTGGCTGCTGTGGGTGGGCCACTGCCGTTCCAGGTCACCGCCTGCTGCTCCTGAAATATTGATGGGAGCGGCGGGTGGCAGGGCAGCGAGGCGTGCAGGGAGCTGTGGGGGGGGACGGATGGACACCCCGCGAGGGGAGCGCGGCCACACGCACCCCCCGACACGTGCCACACACCCACTGCCACCGCGGCGGTGACACGCGGGGCCGGTGACACGCGGGGCCGGTGACACGCGGGGCCGGTGACACGCAGGCTCCCGTGACGCCGACACCCCGCACCCCTCGCAGGGTGCTGGCGGGTGTCACGGGAGCCGCGGGGTGTGGAGCCACCCCCGCGCCCTGCACAGCCTGACCCACTTCCCGCAGGCGCTAGCGCACAGATGGAGCAGACGCTGCGGGGCTGTGGGCGCAGGGACACGGCCCACCTCCTACCCTCGGTCCCTCTGGCTGTGTGTCACCCCTAGGCTGCCCTTCGGCATGTGTCCCTCACACACAGCGTGGGGTGTCCCGCAGCAGGTGTAACTCTCTGGGTGTCCGTGTTCCCCCCATGTCCCCTCCAACTGCCCCCGGGAGTGTGTGGGGGTGTCCATCCCTGTGTGGACTGTCCCCATGTGGGTGTCCCCATGACCCCTCCCCTGTGGTCTCTGGCTGTCCCCACGTGGTCTTTGCCCAAGCAGAGGTGTCCCTGGGTTGTCCCCACATGGTCCCCTCTGTGTATCCTCAGCCGGGGCTGAGTGTCCTGGGAGTGTCCCTGTGCCCTGTCCCTCTGGAGCTGTGTCCCTGTGCCGGGAGCCCCAGCTGTCCCCTCTGGTGAGCCCCAGCACACACAGACAGGGAGGGGCTGAGCCCTGTCCCATCCCACTGGGGATTACAAGGGGCTCAGCCCAGCTCTGCCTAATCCGGGGGATTACACGGGCTGGGCCCAGCCGGGGGGGCACCCAGAGGTGCCCCCCACAAGGACACGGCACGTGGCAGCTGAGGACAGCAAGGGGGGCTCCCAGCAGCAACCAAAGGCACCACGTACCCCAACACACGGCCACAGGGTGGGTTTGGGGGGTGAGGGGGGCACAGCAGATGCCCCAGGTTTATTGGGGTGCGGGGTGGGGGCTCAGGCGCTGCCGGTGCCCTGCTGCATTCGTTTGAGCAGCTCCTCGTCCTGCAGGGACAGCTCTGTCAGCTTCTTGCCCATCCGCTCGTGCACCTCCAGGTACTTGGCCACGCAGCGGTCCAGGCACACGCATTCCCCTTTGGACAGCTCCGACTCCTTGTAGTGCGGGGGGACGCACTTGCGGTGGCACGCCTGGGTCATCCTGCACGCATCGCCACCGCACCTGAGTCCCGCACCACCCGGGAGCCGGCCCTGCACCTCAGCACACCCTGTACCCCGCCGTCGACACCCCCGGGATCCCGACCCCGCACCCAAACATCTCCTATACCCCGCCATCAGCACCCCCGAGAGACAGCCCCGCACCTCAGCACCCCCCCGTTATCGCCATCCCCGCCACCCCCAGTCCTTGCACCCCACCACCTGTACCCCCATCATCACCGACCGAGAGCCCGGCCTCTGCACCCCAACAAGCCCAGTATCCCCCGTCATCGTTACCCGGGCACCCCTAGGACCCCCCCACCGTCCCCTATCCTCAAGCATCTCCGGTTCCCCCCCACATTTCCCGGGTGTTTCCTAGGACCCCCCGCACTCCCCTACAACCCCAGCACCCCAGGGTCTCCCAGTGCCTCTGACAGCCACTAGTGTCCCCCAAGCCACGGACACGCCCCGGTACCCCAAGAGCCCCGATGCTCCCCCCGGCGGGCCGCACCGATTGTACATGTCGGCCATCATCTCAACCTCCAGCTCGGCCGCCAGCTGCTGAGCCCGCAGCGGATCCATGGCGGCCAGCACCTGTCCCGCTCGGTCCCGGTCCCGATCACGGTCCCTCTGGGCCCGACCCCGCTCGGATCCGCCCCGCTGGATCTCCGCGGTCCCGCTCGGTTCGGGACCCGGCGGCGGCTCCCTACAGGAACCACGTGGGCGCCGCGCTTCCGCCCACCCGCGCAGTGGCCCCGCCCCCCCACCGGAACCGACCAATCGTGTGCAGCTGAAGGCGGAACCAGGAGTGCGCCTGTGTCGCTGATTGGCTCGACGGAAGGGGCGTGGCGGCGGCCGAGCGGCGGGGAGGGGAGCGGCAGAGCGCGCGCTCTGTCCGGCCTTTGCCCCGCAGGGGGCGTGGTCATCGGAAAGGGGCGTGATCAGACCGGAGGGGGCGTGGCCAAGCCCGGGACCTCACCCCGGCATGGTTGGGGGGCTTCGGGTCCCCTCCCTCCCGGTCTCCGCCTCTGTGTCCCCTGTTCCTCGTCTCCCTGGGTCCTCCTGTGTCCCGCCGTCCCGCCCGGGCTGTCCCCGTGTGACCTGTGTCCCCACATGCCTGTGTTCCCCATTGCCCCCCGGCAATCTGTTCCTCCCGCCCTGCCCGTGTTCCCCACGTCCCCCGTGTCCCCCGTACACCCCCGAGTCTGTGTTCCCCACCTCGCCCGTGTGCCTGCGACCCCCAAGTCTCCCTGTCCCTGCCCAGGGTGTCCGTGTCCCCCGTGTCCACCGGGTCGCACGGCACGGGTTCGGTCTTGCCCCCGTGAGCTGCTTTAGGGTGTCGCCGCTGTCCCCCTCCCCAGCCATGGCCGGGTGTCCGGCCCGGCCCCACGCGTGCCCCGCGGGTGGGCGGTGAGTGAAGGCGGCACCTGCCCCCGCCGCGTAAAAATAGCAGCGGGCGGGGGGGCTGGGGCGCAGCAGGGCCGGCGGAGCAGGAGCAGCCGGAGGGTACGGGGCGAGGGGCTCCGGGAGCTCAGGGGGGCACGGGTGGAACGGGGAGCGGTCGGGAGGGTGCGGGCTGGAGGGCACCGGGGAGGAGAACCAGAGGGAGGCAAGGGAGACCGGGAAGGGGTCATAGGGGGCCGGCAGTGGGCACTGGAGGGCCGGGAGAAGACAGGCGGGGCCGGGGTGGGATATGTGTGGTCGGGAGGGGACATGGGGGCAGGAAGGGGCACAGGGGTGCTGATACGGGGCATTGGGGGGGAGCGAAGTGGGGCGGGAGGGCAATGGGAGGGTTGGTTTGGGGCTTGGGGGCTACAGGAAAACACGAAAGGACCGGGCTGTGCTGTTGCGGTGTTGGGATGGGGTATGGGGGAGCCAGGGTGGGGCAACTGGGGTGCCCAACGTGGGAATGCCATGGGCACAGGGGAAGGAGGGGAGTTAGCCGGGCTGGGGGGCTATGGGGGTCACGGGCAAGCTCACGGCGTCATCGGGGGACTCCCCAGTGACAGCCCTGTGTCCCTGCAGCAGTGACCGCAGCAATATGGAAGCTCTGGGAGATGCTGAAACCCCCACCTCGGACACTCCCACCTCGGACAGCCCCACCTCGGACACCTCCACTTCGGACACCCGCACTTCGGAAACCCCCACCGCGAGCACCCCCACCCCGGACACCCCCACCCCTGGCACCCCGACCCCGGACACCCCCACCCCTGGCACCCCCACCCCTGGCACCCCGACTCCCCGCACCCCCACCCGGGGTAGCCCCACCCCGGACACCCCCCCTGACCCCGCCGCGGGGCCGGGGCAGGGCAGCGGGGAGGCGGCGACTCCCCAGGGTGGGGAGGGAGCTCGGGAAGCGGGGGGCGATGGGGGTGAAGGGAAGGACACGAAGGGTGAAGGGAAGGACATGAGGGGTGAAGGGGAGGATACGGGGGGTGAAGGGGGGTGCGCGGGGGGAGAGGCTGCCGGGGATGGCGGGGCAGAAGCACCCAGGGGTGCCGGGGGCGATGCCGGGGAGGCCGGGGAAGGTGGTGGCAATGCCGAGCCAGGGACAGCCGGGGGCACCGGAGGGGGTGCCGAGGAGGGTACCGGGGGAGAAGCGGCACCGGCAGCAGCGGGCAACACCCGGCGCCGACAGGTGAGGAAGGGAGGCGGTGGCACAGTCGGGGCAGGAGGCGGTGGGGAGGGCAGCTGCGGTTTGGATGGGGAAATGGGTGGCTTTACTGGGGCGGGGTGAGAGTGCCAGAGCCAGGATGACAGTGCCAGGGACATTGTGTGAGTGACACTGCCCGTGCTGGCAGTGCCACCCTGCCTGTTGCTTACAGGAGCCCACTTGGCTTCAGGACGACGACGACGAGCTGTGGCCTGAATTCCCTCCCTGCTCGTCCCCAGACGGGGCCACCAGCCCCACATCCCCCACATCTCCCACATCCCCCATGTCCCCCACATCCCCTATGTCCCCAACGTCCCCTATGTCCCCCACATCCCCTATGTCCCCCACATCCCCTATGTCCCCAGCATCTCCAGCGTCCCCCACAGGTAAGAGCCATTTGGCCGATGGCACCCGAGAGTTCTGGGGTCACTGCTGTCCCACAGTGTCCATCCTCCCCACGGGACAGGACCTTGAGCCCCCAGGGGTGCCCAGGGGGTGTGGGTGCTCTCTTCCAGCCCTCTGACCCCTCC